GGGGGGCGCCGGGGGGACACGGGGGGGGGAAACGGGAGGTGCTTAAAGAGAGGGACCTCCCCCCCAAAAAGGGGTGACCCCTGTGGGACCCAGGAAAGAGGGGGAACCCCCCAAAAGGGACCCCCTCCCAAAGGGACCCCCCAAAAGGGAGCCAGGATTGACCCCAGTTAGCTGGAGAGGGGACACGGGGGGGGGCACTTAAAGAGAGGGACACCCCACACCCCCCTCCCCACAAAGGGGCGACCCCAGACGGGCCCCGAGGGTGCCCCAGGGTGGTCCCGCTCCCCCCACACCCCCCCACTCACAGGCCACGTGCAGCTCCAGGCTCCGGTTGTGGCGGCCGTGCCGGTTCTCGGCCACGCAGGTGTAGGTGCTGCTGTCGCCGGGGCTCACCTGGGGCAGGTGCAGCCGCAGGGACGGGACCCCCGGCTCCTCCCGCAGCACCTGCGGCCCCCGGAACCACGAGAGCAGCGGGGGGGGGCGGCCCTCGGCCGAGCACCCCAACTCCACCTCGGCCCCCTCCAGGGCCTCGGGGGGCCCCGACACCTCCAGCACCTGAGGCTCATCTGGGGGGAGAGAGGGGGGGATTTGGGGGGGGTCCAGGTGACCCAGAGCCCCCTCCCTCACCCCCGTGATCTCCCCAGGGGACCCCCGGGCATCCCCCCCCCATTGCACTGGAGAGGTCCAGGTGTGTCCCCCACCCAAAAGGGATCCCAGACCCCAAAATGGGGAGGTGGGGGGGTGTCAAACCCCATCTCTGCCTCCTAAATAAGGGGACCCAGGTTTGGGGGAGTACCAGGTGTTTGGGGGGGGGTACAGGTGTGTTTGGGGGGGATACAGATGTGTTTTGGGGGTTCCCAGGTGTGTGTGGGGATCCAGGTGTTTGGGGGAGTACCAGGTGCTTGGGGGGGTTCCAGGTGTTTGGGGGGTCCCAGGTGCCCACCGAGGTACCCTTGGGGGGGGTCCCGCCCCTCAGAGTCCCCCTACGCCCACCCCAAAGCCCTCCCACTCACACTGCACGTCGAGGGCGACGCTGGCGCCGAAGGCCAGGCTGGAGTTGGGCAGGGTCACCTGGCAGCCCACCCGGTGCCCCCCGAGCCCCCGGCGGGGCCGGAAACGCAGCAGGGCCACAACGGAGCCGGCGCCGTTCGAGTCCTCGCGCGACTCGTGCTCGGAACGTTCCGGAAGGTCCTCGGCCCCCTCCCAGGACACCCGCGGGCGCTGCCGCGGGCACGAGTCGGGCACCCGGCACCGCAGCTCGGCCGGGACCCCCGCCACCACCTCGGGGGGTACCTCCAGCACCGGCTCCTCTGCGGGGGCAATGCGGCAGGGGGGCTCAGCTGGGGGGGGACACCCCCCAGGGTTGGGGACAGGGACATGGGAGACACCAGGACACTCCCCAGGGTTGGGGACAGGGACAGGGGAGACACCAGGACACCCCCCAGGACTGGGGACAGGGACAGGGGAGACACCAGGACACTGCCCTGGGACTGGGGACAGGGACAGGGGAGACACCAGGACACCCCCCAGGGTTGGGGACAGGGACAGGGGAGACACCAGGACACTGCCCTGGGACTGGGGACAAGGGCAGGGGAGACACCAGGACACCCCCCAGGGTTGGGGACAGGGACATGGGAGACACCAGGACACTGCCCTGGGATTGGGGACAGGGACATGGGAGACACCAGGACACCCCCCAGGACTGGGGACAGGGACAGGGGAGACACCAGGACACTGCCCTGGGACTGGGGACAAGGGCAGGGGAGACACCAGGACACCCCCCAGGATTGGGGACAAGGGCAGGGGAGACACCAGGACACCCTCCAGGATTGGGGACAAGGGCAGGGGAGACACCAGGACACTGCCCTGGGATTGGGGACAAGGGCAGGGGAGATACCAGGACACCCCCCAGGATTGGGGACAGGGATAGGGGAGACACCAGGACAACCTCCAGGATTGGGGACAAGGGGAAATGGGGGCCCAGGGGTGCAATGTCCCTCCCTGGCCCTGAAAACGGGTTCCCAGTCCCCCACTCCCCCCTCCCCACCCCCAAACCGGGGTCCCAGCCCCCCAAACCCACCTTCCCACCCCCAAACCGGGGTCCCAGCCCTCCCCCCCCCGGGGTCCTCCCCTCCCCAGCCTCCCCCCCGCCCGGACTCACCGAGCACCTCGAGCGTGGTGTGCTCGGAGAAGCTGTACTGGTTGTAGCCCCCCAGGTCCCCCCTGAAGTAGTACCTGCCGGCCAGCTCGGGGCTCAGGGGGCCCAGCAGCAGGGAGCAGTCCCGCACCCCCGGGTCCCCCTCCAGCCGCGCCCGCCCCGCGAAGCTCTCGTGGACGGCGCCGGGGCGGGACCGGGCGACCACCGGCGGGTAGTTCTTGGGGTAGGGGCTGCCGAAGTACCAGAGCCCGTGCACGGAGCTGGGGCGCAGCTCCTCGGGGTACCCGAACCGGCACGGCACGGACACGCACGACCCCGACAGCCCCGACACCGCCGGCGGCATCCAGGCGGCCCAGGAGCCCCCCGAGAGTCCTGGGAGAGACAGGGCTGGAATAACAATGGGGGTCTGGGGGTCCCTGGAGCCCCCTGAGAGTCCTGGGAGAGACAGGGCTGGAATAACAATGGGGGTCTGGGGGTCCCTGGAGCCCCCTGAGAGTCCTGGGAGAGACAGGGCTGGGATAACAATGGGGGTCTGGGGGTCCCAGGAGCCCCCCGAGAGTCCTGGGAATGGGG